ATCACAAGGCTTAGAAATTAACATGTGGAAATCACTTTCGAAAATTCTAACATATTTATTTATGAGCATGCACACTATGCTCCCTCGGGAGCATAGCTTACTTCCTCGATTAGAAGACTACTTAGGATAGTTTTTTTCAATATGAAATTTTGGGAACTACTTAAAGAATCACTAGATGATCATTGACAAAAGAAAAAATTTGAAATTTTAGTTTTCTAACACGTGGATCTTGCCATCTAAAAATTGGATGGTCTCTATTCAATATTGAGATTTTTTTTTTTTTCAAGTGTGCAAAAGGTGCAATTAGAAATTTTTTCTATTGAGGTTAATCTACGTGTCGAAGATGTTACGTCCCCAAATGTTGGGTCTCTAGGTGGGGCATTTATGTGAGAGAGTAAATAGACACTATAGTCCCGTGCTGAGTATAACATCTTTGGTCTTTATTTATTACTCTCTTTCCAAACTTGTCATTGGGACCCACATCTTAGCCCCTCTCACCGATTTATCAATATCTTTCACATTTGATAATGTAGTCTTTTTTATTGTTTTGGAATCCACAAGCCCAGACTAAGGACTTTGCAGCTCAAATGGAATACAAATTTAGGGCATTCAAAACATTCTATTTCTAAACTAATGACAAAAGTAACAACTTAGGGCCTGAATCTTGCAAAATAAATGGTTTTTGCACAAAGACAAGGACCATTTAATGTTAATGATGAGAATGATGGTTATATAAATAGTAGATAAGGCCTTGAATAGACGGTCCAACAACTATGTGACAGATAGCATTTATTTTAAACACCTGATCACACGTGCGAACTATGCATCATTTGGTAATGAGTTCCATCCATGTTGAGGAGAGGCTCATGTTACGTAGCATGCATGTAAAAAAGTGCACGTTGGTGGGCCCTCATATACCACCCCTTCATTCCAATTATTTTTCTATGGGGATGTTTGGCCTATGAGTAAGTCATTATTTTGTTGTTTATCTATTAATTATGAATGTGCTTTTTAAGTCCTTATTGTATTGTTTATCTATTAATTATGAATGTGCATCTAAGTCCTCATGCTATTGCTTGTTTATTAACTATTAGTGTGTTGGGATCCTTATTGGCAAAGTTAATGCAAGATAAAATAAGCCATGTCATAGCGCAAATAAAGTTGATGCTAGTGGAGTATGAGCATGCATACATGGGAGAGGATGGGAAGTAGGCACAGTAAATGACAAGGCCGTTTACTGTTAGTACAAGTTGGGCGGTCAACGAGCCGTGCTTGGCCCTATCTTGGGCTGGTCCGAAGAGGACCTGCCCAAGTTTGGGCCCAGCCAAGTACGGGCCCAGTAGACTCAAAAGAAATAAAAGTATAAATAAAGAGTAAAAAAAGTTGGGTTGGGCCAACCTAGTTGTGGCTCTGGCTCAACCTTAATTTTTCAGGGTTGGGGTGAACAGGCCGGGTCAGGCTACCCAGCCCATTCTTAACACTAAATACAAGAAATTCACAATTAATTGTCAGATATAAAATTGGGTAGTCATGGGTGTGCAATGGATAGATCTCAAAAAATTTGAACATGATTTTTTCCATCTCTGTAACACACCTTTAGCCGCATGATTTCATATCTAGCATCAAAGAGTTACATTGACCTTCTTGTACCACAACTGAATAAACTTATAACATTATATCCCTTGGAAATTTATGAGGTGGTTTTCGAGGCAAAGTGTTACTCTTCCACTTGAGTCTAAGATCCTCAGCAACCAGAATATTACCGAAAGACAAAAGAGGAAAAGGAAATCAAACAGTGAGGGAGAAAAGGAAAAGCGTGAGACATTGTCCTTATCCCTTCTTTGTTTTCCTTTTCTTATTTTTATTTTCTTTCATGTGATTGCCTTTTCTCGTTATTTTTTCCCTTTTCCTTCAGTACAGTGAAAGAGGTTTTATGCATATACTTGTAGGATAGGTAAGCTGGATTCGACCCATTGTCAAAGATGAAACAGTATTCTAGTTTATTTTATTTTGAGCTAAGGTTTAACTTATATTCCTTTTCTCTGTGCAAATAGGAAAATAACAGGAGTCCTTTTAGAATATTGTAGTTTATTAAACCAAAAAATTATTACATAGGATTCAAGGGGAAAACCAAGGTACATAGAATTAGATGTGTAGAATGGGGTCACCTAAGTTTGTGAAGTTAGGAATTGAGTTACAATTTACGTATAGTAATTTTTTTTGTGGATAGGCAGTAGGAATTGAACTTGAGATGTAGTGCTGCTAAGGCTAACTATTCAAAGCCCAAGCCCAAACCCAGTTCCTATCTATGTATTCAAATTAATATTATTGCCATCAAAACCCCCAAAATGCTCCTACAAGTTGCACCCATGACAAATTAACAGGACCACTTCTTTCTTTCTTAGTTCGGATGAATCTTGGATCAATTTAATAATAGCAATTGCTTCAAAGGTAGGCTTAGAATGAGTTGGATGTGCCGATGCATTTGCAACTTCGAGTCCCATGTGTGTTCTAGATTATGCAGCGTAGGCCCCACGCACTTTTCAAATGTGGGTCCCACTCACCAAGCATTGGTTTAGACCACCCAATCAGAGAGGGCGGTTCGATGCACCTTGTTTCCCACGTGTTGCCCATTTATAAATGTACTACATCAACTTGTGTACAGCATATGATGCATAGGTAGAGCATCTATCGTTCGTTCTCAAGGATGGATGGTGGAGATCAATCAAGCCAATCAGAGTATTCGTCATCAAGAAACACGCGGATGACCCATATACATGCATATGCACAATTGTCAAACGTGAAATCGAACAGCTTGGCATGTTTTGAAAATTTGTTCCGATTACAAGCTAGGTAAAAAGTTTCACATCTAACGACCAATAGTAATTGTGGCTCTTTCAGTGAAAAATAAAAATAAATGAATTATACTATTATTTCCTTAAAAACATATATGACAAAACAAGTAAGAGAATAATTAATTTCTTGGGTTGCTGTTAAATGAATTGCCCAAATGGAGAAGGATACTATGGTGGTCCTACAAGGGAAGGGAGGCCTTTTCAAGCAATTAGGAAAGAAACCTAACCCAAAGTAGGAGAGGGTCGGTCACATATCATGGGCTAGTTAGTGTGTGTGTGTGTGTTTGTGCGCATGTAAGAATATGAATAGATACCTTTTGTCGGACATGGATATTTACCATGAGAGTGAGGTGAGGGGGCTTTGCAAGTTATGGCGACAGCGCAACGTGCTGGTCATAGTACCACTCAAAACCCTAGAAAAGTAGAGAAAGAAAGAGGGATGAGAGAGAAAGTATTCATTCTTTTGTTTCTATTCTTGTTTTGCATGTTTCCAACAGTGAAAAGGGGAGGAAGAGAACGTAAGTACTACTGTGGCAGCACTGCTCCGAGTTTTTGTCCTCTCACAGCTCGACACGTCCAATAATGGAAGCATATCCACCCCCTTCCACCAAAGGACTCTTTTCCTCTTTCGTCACAAGGAACCTGCCAATGGGTCCAGGTCCGGTCCGGGCCTTGAGAAAGTTAGGCTTGGGTCAAACTGTAAGGCAAGAGCCCAGCTAGGATTGGTGCCGGCTTTGGGCCCGGTCATCTTTTTTTTCCCTTTCTGCTTGTTAAAAAAGTTTTTGGGTTAAAATGATATAAAAAGATTTATTATGATTAATTTCTAGGATAAAAAAATAAGGGAAAAAAAATCTCTTTATTCCATATTTTTAACTTTCATATATCATGATACTCAAGAATTGAAAATATTATTTGTAAGCAAAAGATCTCCATATTTTCTATCTTACGACCCTGTTGACTCTTTTGACCATAAAGTTTTGACCCAAACAAACACTAAAATGACACTCTCTCTCTCTAAAACTCCATCTCTCTGTTCGCTTCTCGATGAGTTTACCGATCAAAGGGTTTAGCTTGAGCTCGAACACGAGCGTATCTTCTTATTTGTGAGAGAGAGATGGAGTTTGGGTTTTAGAGATAAAGAGAGATATAGAGTCATTTCATAAATTTTTGAGGTCAATAGGGTGTAAGGGGTTGGAAGATAGAAAAGATGAAGTCATTTTTGCTTATAAGTAATAGTTTCAATTTTTAGATGTGATGAGATATAGAAATTAAAAATAAGGGATAGTAGGATATTTTCTCAAAAATCAATAAAAAAAAGAGATAAGAGAGGAGGGGGTACGGCGAAATCTTTAATGGTTTTCTTACGTTGCTTCAAAAAAAAAAAAAAAAAAGAGGGTCCGCCGTAAAATGATACATAGAATTAAGATTTTATACGAAATTATCCTTTAATTTTGGCCTGGTCAAGGCTGGCCGCACTAATGGGGACAAGGGCCGGACCTGTTGCTACCCTTACTATCAAGATTTCTATATAATCTTAGAGGGAGTTGAGGAACTAAGAAGAGCATGCTTTCTGGAATTAACAATTCCAAGTGTCTATGTTAATAATCTTAGACGGGGAGTTGAAGTTCAACAGAGAAGGAATTAACAAGTCGAGGCCATGCCGTCTTCCTATATTTGTTTTTCAAAGGCCTCAAAGACCGACAAGTGAGGCTTAACAAACACCATCTGACACCCATTCCATACAACTCCCACATGTCCCTCTGATCAATCAATTCCCAACCCCATACTCCCAATCTCTAAATCTACTCCCCCTTCCAATTATTTCTTCCATTTTGCATACCAATCTCCATACAAGAGAGAGAGAAGATATCCATTAAAACCCACTCCTCAGAAAAATAAAATAGAAAAGAAAAGCTCCTAAACCTCATGTCAAGAGAAAAACATGAAATCATTTGAAAGTCTGAGGACACATGAGTTCAAGTAGTTGACTTAGAAACCCAAAAAATTGACAAAAACCCCACATTGATTGCAAGTATCGACTCGTCAATTTGGATTTTACATATGAATCAAATAACTAACCTAGATTGTGAACCACATTTTAATATTAATTATATCCAAATCCACCCCACAACAAATAAGAATCCCTTTTCAGAAGAGAATAGGATATATTCAAATGGAATTGATTTTGAAGCAATGGTAATGGCCAAGAACCTCTCTGTATCCACCCAACTGTTAGAAGGAAGCAGAAGAAAGAAATTACAGTCTCAAGAGATCAAACAAGGCCAGGAGGGGGAGAGAGAATCAGAGGTTCAGTATCCTTGGACCCGTCGTGATCGCAGACCGCCACCGGCTTCGAGTCCGTGAGCCTTCTCGCCTTGTCCACCTGCGCCACCCAATCGGTCCTCGCCAAAACAAAGAGCATCACCACTGCGCAGCAGCCCTGCGCGGCCAACAGCCCCACCCACAGCCCCAGAAACTCAAACTTCATCCAAAACCCTAATGCCAAAGCCACAGGCAAACCCACACAGTAGAAGCAACACAAATTAATATTGGCTCCTGCAGCTGGCCTCGCGCTCCCCCTCAGGACCCCGCACCCGGTGGTCTGGGGGCAGTTCCCGAGCTCGCAGAGCCCCGCGATAGGCAAAACCATGGCTGTTAGCTTCAAAACCTCAGGATCAGTGCTGAACATTCGACCCCACCAATGTCTCACCGAGAAAGCAAAACCCATGGCCATTACTCCCATGAAGCCAGCAAAGGTGAGCCCAACGAGCATTGAGATGCGGGCGTGTGACGGGCGGTCCGCTCCGAGCTCGTGTCCAACACGGGCCGACACCCCAAGACTAAGAGCAGATGGAAAGACATAGACAAGCGCTGTCGTCTGAATCATAATGCCCATGGAAGCCACAGTTGCTCTCGGATTGACAAAGAGGCCACAGAGAATGATCATCAGCTCATACCACCACCACTCAAGGCAAACAGATATACAGGTGGGCAATGCTAGGCCCATCAGAGTGCCCCACCCGCGAAAGCAGTCGGTACTCGGTGACGCCCATGACGACTTATATGCACCAGAAACAAGCAGATAAAAGAGAAGTAACAAAACCAAGATAAAGTTTGTCCAGACAGATGCAAGGGCCACACCACCAATACCCATTTTCAAGCAAGTTACGAGAAGGAAATTTACAGGGATATGGAGGAGGACAGAGATTGCCGAGCAGTATGTTAATGGCAGGGTGATGTTTTGCGTCCTGAGATAGTTTCTCAGAGGGTGGAGGAAAGAGAGAGAGACGAGATCAGGGAGAGAGAAGAGAATGAAGGTATTGGCCATGGATGAGATAGCTTCATCTTGGCCACACAATAACAAAATCTTTTTCATATTGAACCAGAACACAGAGATGGGAAGCGACGAAGTGAGGAGGAGGAGGATGGTTCGTTGCAGAGCGAGGCCCATGAGCTTGTACTGTTTGGCACCAAAGGCCTGGGCGCAAATGGGTTCCATTCCCATCGCGAGGCCGGACATGACAGAGTAGCCTGTAATGTTCGCGAACCCAATCGCAAGAGCCCCGCCCGAGAGCTCAAGCTCCCCGAGAAAGCCGAGGAAAAGCATTGATATCATGGCCCTTGAGTAGAGGAGGAGGCCGGTTAGGACAGTCGGTCCAGAGATTTTGAATATGGCCTTGAGCTCCTCTTTCACCTGCAAATCACCATGTCCATGGAGTTAGGGAGAGTAAGAGAGATAGAGAGAGAAAGAGAGAATTGGGTATTGGTTTTTACCTCTGAAGACGAAGGCCATCTATGGAGGTCGTAGGGTTCAAGCTCCATGAATTTAGACTGAGAGTGGGACTGACGGTGTTTCCCCTGAAAGGGGGAAATATAGGTGGTGGTGGTGGGAGACGTTTGCCTGCACATTATGATTATGCCTCCTCTTTTTTCGCCCGTCTCACAAACCATTCAACTCCTCTCTCTCTCTCTCGCTCTCTCAAGTTACCTGAAAGAGTCCTTTTTTTTTTTCTCTCTCTCTCTCCAAAATATAGTAACGAGAAGCGAAAGTTTCTCTCTCTTCTTTCTCTCTCTAAGGAAATGGAGTGGTGTGTATACGGTGGCATCGGAGGTGGCTCTACTTATAAGGGATTTTCTCTCTCAATTGGCCTCACCCAGAACAACACGTGTCATTGTTGGACGCCCATGAGCGCAAGCGCTCGGTGGGGGCCGAGAAAAGGCGGCCTGTTTGCGTTTTTGGGGTTTTCTCTCGCTAAAATCTGGTTATTGGGGGGCCATCCCAATCTTTCTCCCTCCTCTCCCCTCTCATGCGTGCAGCATAATTCTAAAGAGACCACTGTTGCTCGCATACCCAAAGCCCACAACGAATCTCATAATGACGACCGTTTTTTTTTTTAACTATTTATAGTCGGTTACATAAATCTTGATTCGTCTTTCTGCTTGCTTATAGAAGGCGGGGCAGTTATCCGAGGTTTTGATTAAAATTTAGGAGCATTTTTTACTTTTTTATTTTTTGTTTTTTTCTGTTTTTTATTTATTTTTTATTTTTTAGTTTTTAAAAATTTAAAGTGTCAGTTCTCAAACTGTGCTCTCAAACTGTGCAACAGTTGTTTGAGGGACCACAGAGGCACTGATTGAAGGTTTAGATAGAGAAAGTGAAGAGTGCGTCTCTCTCTACTCTGTAGCCGGCAGACTGGGAGAAAGGGAACAGGGATGACGTGGGGAAGTGAGGGCCATTCGATTAGCAGAGATATCCAGTTTTGCTACACGCACGAGGCTCCCGGTTTGGTAGCAGAGGCCCTGCCACCACCAGAGAGATGAGATAAGCTAAGCAGCCAAAAACACTGAAAAGTAGAGTAAATCATTTATATACACTGATTCTCAAGTTTTTCGACTCATTGTTTCAAAAGTGTACCAAATGTGGGGTAGGATTCGCCGGTTGCGCATGGTTCTGGTCATGGTACTCAGCTGGGGCCTACACTTTTAGGAGGGAGGGGGTGGGATTAACATGAGTGACATAAAAGTGAAAATTTATTGCCCCTTTTCTTTTTAATATTAACAATATGGTGTATGGCTTGCAAATGGGGCGCCCACTGTTCAATGAATCAATGGTGTATATTTGGGTTGTGTATCATACATGCATAAACCATACACAACTTGTGTGTGGGATACTTTCCCGCCCAAATTTTACCGTTTGAATTTCGAAAATACATCTTCTTTATGTGTTGATAATTTGAAAAGTTAGGGGATGCGATTATGTGCCGATAATTCGAAAAGTTAGAGGTAATGATTATCCTCTTTTTTTTCTAGTAAAGAAGAAAATGCATAATTTTGGTCGAGGAAGATAATTTAAAATGATTCTCTATGTTGCTCTGTAGAGTCTTTTACAATCATGGGACCCATCAGAGCATTATAGATAATGTACAGTTAAGCGTGCTTGGGAAAAAACAGTATGGATGCATGAAACATGCAACATAAATCTAGCAAAAAATAGTACACAAGAGGAAAGAAGAAGGTTGATTCTATGAATTCAATATATACAAGAGGAAAGAAGAAGGTTAATTCTATGAATTGAATGAAAAATGTATTAAATTCAAATTCTCATGTAAGAAAAGGGATGAATTTATTTGGGGAAACTATTGAAGGTTATCTATTTTTGGAAATTATAAAAATTGGGAAATACTTGCCACTTTAATATAGCTGTTAGAAGTTCCAATTAAAGATTGCCAATTTCATAGCTGGATATCGTTCTAGGGACCATGTGAACAGTATACTAGATGTAGTGGGGACAGTCATGACAATATTCTGTTTGTATGTTACATGCACTCTCCTTATGTTTGAAGTTTGATGCCATTAAACAAGTACATGCGTTAAAGCCTGTGGAATGTGACATAATGTTTAGGTCATTGATTTGTTATCCGCTCTATTTTTTATTGTCGAATCTAGGTGTTTTAGAACTCAAAATCCAATATATCTTTTTTGAAAATACTTATCTAAAATTTTAAATCTAAAAAGTATGCTAAGTGGGTATTTGTCTGGGAGTAACCGCACAGTATACTCTGACTGTAGCATGGTGTACCCTAACTAAGAGAAAAACACCTCATGAGCACAGGCTAAAGACAACTTGGTAATTTTAAAGTTAAAAACAAAAGCGTGCTCGAGGTCTTTGTCCCATAAAAAAAAGGACATAAGGTCCTATGTATTCCATATCCCTTTCCCATAGTGTGGAAATATCATCCCAAAAGGAATATGGTTTGATAGGGCTGCAGTCCTATCAAAAGAAGTAAAGCCTTACCTCATAATTCATCAAAAATAATAATTCAAGCATTGGACAATCTTCACATCGATCATCTCGACTTGAACATATTAGTTGTAAAAAAAAAAAAGGATTTTAAGCTCTAAAATCGTGTATACTAGAACATTATCTATACCTTGGATTTCATACTAAAGTTAAGTGTTCATATATCCTCAAAATATGTGCTACGTTGTATGCTTCGAATTTTATTATCGGAGTTGAAAATTGATTAGATCTATCATGGAAATTTTCATTGCCGAATGTGTTTTTCTGAAGAAGATTTGAAATGAGACTTTATTTTGTTTTCATAAAGCCTAAGCCCTATAGAAACTACATCAATAAGAATCCAGATATTGGAAATAGCAATCCCCAGTTTATTTACTTCGAAGGCTAATGATCATGGGCCATTGGTTTGGGAATGGGCTGGCAATGGGCTGGGCCTCCAGCCCAGTTCGGCCCAATCAGCTTGGACCTAAAAAAAGTAGGGCCTGGGCCGGCCCGAGGGCCAGGCTAGGGCCATTGCCAGCACGGCCCTCTTTTTTCCTTTTATTTCTATTTTTAAAAATTTGTTTTTGGCCTGACCACACATAGGGCCTTGGCATGGCCCAGGCCCGGCCAGTTGCTACCCTTAGTTTGGGTGTTTGAGTAGAAGCTATGATTTGTTATTTATGCATGTCTTTTTAAGAAATCAATGACCCACCCAGGAAAATTAACAAGTTGGAAAGTGGCTCATCGTCATGGATGATACTGCTCATCACTCTCAAGGGAAGGGGCAGGGGCCCATGAGATCAGATAGAGAGAGAGAATCCCACCATGAAAAGCATAAGAGTAATATGGAATAGTGGAACAGTGAATGGATTCTCAATCTCTTACAGTGTTTCTTCATTTGTGGGCAACAAGGCAGCGGCGTTTCTCCACGATGGGATCACCATTCCAATCCTTGTTTCTTTTTGTGTGCTTCAAATTCTGAGGAATTTCTTCTCCAATCATGAATATGTCCCCTATTTTTGCTGCACTCACACTTTGCCCATTATACATGCAAGTTGGGCTCCTTATAGCTTCATTGCCAAGCCATAAAAAGTTAAATTCTCTCTCTCTCTCTCTCTCTCTCTCTCT